TCTTTGTTGTTAATTTCAATAAAAATTATAATTTTTCTTCTGGCTGCTTGCAAAGTACCTACTTTATATTGAATGATTAGTAATTGAACTTCGGACGGTTGTTAAGTTTACAGCCAATAAGCAATACAGCAGGGAATCAATTATATGTTATCAGTAGTAGTAGAATTAAAGCGAATTCAGATAAGGGATTGTCCAAAACCACTTGGTCTTATTTTAGGCCTTCCGAGACTCCTGCCTCTCTTCTTGTAGTCTAACGTGGAATTTTTATTGCCAAGCTTCTTTTTTCGTCGTTGATTCTTATTCTTTATCTATTATTTGGTGTTTGCTATATTACGGTGTATTTAATTCATTGTCATTTGAATTTCCATTCTTAGGCTCTTGATTCGCTGAACTATATCAATGTCGGCGTATAACTTGTACAGCTCATCGTTCCACTTCCAACGCCGACTCATCAGATGTTTCCATCGTCCATGCTTCCGGTCCATATAGCAGGACGGAAACGATTAAGGACTGGTAGAGTTTGGTTTTCGTTTATCGAGAGAGGACCATACTTTAAATGGCCTACTCAGTCCAAAGTAGCACCTGTTAGCAAAAGTTATTCTGCGTAGGATTTCAAAGCTGACATTATTATATGACTTTGAAGTTATGACGGTCAACAGAGACGTGGGAGCCAAGTCGGGAATACGATGCCTGTTTGTTTGATGACAGGAGACATTTCGTCTTGTCCACGTTAACTATCAGACCCATATCCTTTGCGGGGATAGCAAATTCAGGCATAGCGTGTTGTCACATGGAGAATACTCTTCAATGGTTGATTTACCGGGCCTAGAGCCACACTTATAATTCCAATCAGTTTGTTTACCCTGAGCTGCAGTCTTTCACACAGATCGCTTGATGCGATCCTAAGATAATTTGTCGGACTATAGGATTACCATTTTTATAGATTGGGCTGAGCACACTTAAATTCCAATCATCGGGCATGCTTTAGTTCGTCCATATTTTGCAGAGAAGCTGATGCATGCACCTTATCAGTTCTTCACCGCCATGTTTAAATAGTTCTGCCGGTAGATCGTCAGCTCCCGCCGTTTCTGCATGGTCAGGGGGTTTCGGGTTCACTATCTCTTGGTGTTTCATTGTCACTGCCATTCAACAGGCTGGAGAAGTGTTCCCTTCATAAATTCATTATATTCTGGGCATCCGCCACTAGTTAACTCCTCTGGGTCCTACAAAAGTTTGCTCCAATCTTGAAAACTTCCGTAAGTCGTCGTATCAGAGACATTTACTGGTAATTCCAAGTAAGTTGTATAAGGTTTTGTAAAAAAAAGAAAAAAATAATATTGTTTTTACGAATCCGCGTTCAAAAACTAGAGGAATGTTAAATGGCTTAAAATTTTTAAAAATCCTCTAAATGTGCGCACGAAAAAGAATATGATATTCTTGTGGGTGCATTAACGGGACATCCGCTCCTGAGATATCACCTACACAAGGAATGTAAAGTGGAATCGGCTAAGTCCAGAGCATGCACTGAAGATTACAAGACATGGTCACACAAGTATAGTGGTCTGAAGTTCAAGCCTGAAAGAAGTTTTATCAGTTTAACAGTCAAAAAATCATATAGGGCGGGAAATTGGTATTCTCGACAGATTTTGATACCAAAAATCATCGAAACCGGAGCACTGTATCATTTAACCCCCCTACAAACGAGTTTTAAGGTATGAAAGGTATAAAGAATTCGGTTATTCATCTTGGATCGAATTTTATGTCCAGATATTTGAACATATAAATTAAATTTGAAGGACTTATCATTTTTAGTGAAAGTTATAAGTCTCCAAATATCGTCGCTCGGAATAAGTCCAGAAATAGATAAACTCCTAGAGAGCTGACATTTTACTTCTGTACAATTTTAAGGCTTAACATCGAATCTTAGAGTTATTCATCCATATTTTCTTTGATAAAAAGCAAGAAAGGAAGGCTAAGCTCAGGTGGGTGAAATATTCAATACTCGGTTCATATGTATGTATTATGAACCGAGTATTGAATATTTATCCCACCTGAGCTTAGCCTTCCTTTCTTGCTTTTTATTTGCAACTGACACTTACCTAGTAGGCGTTCGCGGTTATTGAAAGTTCATAGATAAAAAAGTGTAAAAATTATTTTAAAAGCAAAACTATTGGTTAAGTAAGCTTAATGAACGTAACAGCATTTGTGTGTGAACAAATTATAAAACTGTGTGACAAATGGAGGGTGATATTATTAAGACGAGCTTGTAAATTACTAAGTTAAAAACAAATAATTTTCTAAAAAATGAAAATTTAAAGGTGATATTCTTTATGAAAATTCGGTTTAAAAATTTATTTACTAAAGCCATACCAGGAGTAGGAGAGCCTAAGAGAGAATGAAAGATGACTTCAACTAAATCGAGATAAATTACGGCGTTCAGATTTCAGTTTTTCGATTTGCCACGATAGCGAATGAGTTATAGAATCTGCAAATTTTTCACTTTATTTTTTATATAAAAAAATATAATTTTTTTTTTTTAATTTATTAACTTTCTTTTTTAATATAATAATATTAATATACCAAAGGATTGTCGCACAGTGTAATTTCACATTTCCTTACGTAAGTACTTGTTTTTTCGTATGTATGTACGAGTATATGCTCACACCCACTTACGTAAGTAAGTAAGTGCACGCGATGGTGTTTATTGTTCGCTTAAGCCTGTGACCGTAAGCTGTGTAATTGAGCAGCTAATTTCTTTAAATATAAATAAGTGTCTTGATGAAAACGACTTACTCATTAAATGATTTATTTTTTTAATGTTTTTCAGCTCTATGATTGACAGCACTTTCATTTATACATTTACATTTTTTTAATTTTGCGGTTCATATTTGGGCGTAGAAAAGTTGTGGTCCGACTTGAATTTAAATTCTATCCAATTTATCTCAGAAATATATACTATATCTTTCGGGAAGCTCAACTATTACGATTTTTAGTTAATCAGATTCAAAATTATCTATTTGATCATTTCTAATACAGGGATCTCTATAAAAGTTCATGACCTTAACTGTGATCTTAGTTTGAAAAAATATCCAAAGCTATATGCGTTTTAAATCAGATTAGATCCGGCACCTGATCCTTCCAGTTGGGAGTACAATTTATCCTATCAATCTTCCACCGCTAGTGAGTGCGACATGATTCAGAAAGCGAATGGTTAGTAACTTGTAAGGCTTGGCTTTTGTTCGCCGAGAGACTTCAAAGCTAAAACTCTCAACAAGACAATGTAGCCAAGACTGTTTGTATCATGACATTCGCCTTACTTTCTCAGTTGTTTTCTCCAAGCGGGCTGTTATAAGAGATTCTTCCATCTCTGCTTAGCTATGCTAAGTTAAGGCTTGATCATTAAGAAGTCAAACGATAAAGAGTCACCTTGCCTAAAACGTCATTAAGTAGGTCGCCCTCGCGTTTTTTCCATGAGATATTATACACTTGTGCCAACGGTTTTTCCAATCTTCGAAGCACTTCGAAAAATCATTTTTTTTATCTTGTTCAGCACCTCCATCGATGCCGTCTTGCCGAGCTTATCGGAATAAGTGAGTACCAACATAATGCCACAAAAAATCGAAATTCGATTATACGTAAGCCGTGAAAATTCAAAATTCTCGATAATTTTTGAACACGCCTCGTATGTGAAGATCCGCCGGTAAACTATAAGTTCTCGCGGCGATGTTCCTAAAAGGTGGGTAATTCTCTTCGGTTTACGTCATGGTCGTGTAATGATACGTCTGTTATATCATCATCAATTGGTGAGTCGGTATCGCCATCTCATGAGGTTTCGATTTCTTCAATTTGGCGGGTTGAAAAAGCTATCCTTCTATTTACTCGACATACTTTGGATATTAGTTGCCAGATCACCTCTTTGGGTCCAACATTAGTATGTTGCGGTATTGAAATCTTCCGTTTTTTTTATTTTTTAAGTATTACTCCTGCCACTGCAGTCCTCCTCCTCTTCTATCTGTGAACGCGGCTCGGTTTTTCTTCAACATTTGGCGTCTCTAGCTTACAGTGAGCGCTATGATCGATGACAACATTGCGAAGAAAACAGTCTCTCTCCTCTCCACAGCATCACGGCATAATACTTCGACCTTATCGAGGTTGAAATACTTTCTTACCGTTTCTTTAATTAAGCTAAGTGCTCTCAGAGAGTTGGACTACAAGTCGAATAAAAAACGTTTGGATGGCTATTGTATTTGCAGCTTTTCGACGTAGAACCGTACATAGAACATATTTACTATGCACTACATCCAGAATATTGGAAGTATATCGCCCATCTATCACAACAGGAATGATCTGATTGTGAATTTTTCAATCCGAAGTCAGTTAAACTGCTCGATTAATTTTTCTGTACCAGTGCAAGTATACTCGTAGAAGTCGATCATCCTCAAAACATTTGGGGATTTTCTATCATGAAATTAAGGTTGTCAAGTTTAATTTCAACATAGTGGTCACAACAGCGCTCATAAGATCGCTTCAGACGCTCATAAGATCGCTTCAGACGCTCATAAAATGGATATTTGGGCCCGTCGCATTGGCGCAAATCAGCGATGTGTTGAAGAACTTCGCTTGAGGCGGATTGTGTCGAAATGTTCGTTCTAGGTGGTGAATCAGCGACTGAGCCTCTCCGTGCTTTTCCAGTCCATCAGAAACCTTTTCAAAAATTAGTAAAATAAAAAATAGTGAAAAAATATTACAGTTATAAAAACTTCAAATTCTCTCAGTTTATTTATTTCCATGTAATTTTTTTTTTTAATTTGCATAATGAAAAGTCATTAAATGAACTCAAGAGCGCATAAACTTCAATCCTTTTGCAATTACAATAAATAATTAAGTAAACTCGCACGCTCAAACTTAAAGAATTATAAAAAATGAATAACATTAATATGCAAATAATGAAAATAAGTTAATTATAAGAATATATATGCACGTGTAAGTGTGCGTATGTATGTTGGGAAATGCAAGAGCTGAGTTGTGCGCGTAATCGATGGGAACTCGTTTCATTGAAAATAAGTCCTTGCAATATAATTATTGTTATTGTTTTCTCTCTTCTACTCTACAAGAATGGTTTGCCATCGTAAACTGGATGCGTGTTGTGATATCCATTACCGCCATTGTTCGTTGTATCCGCCACGGCTGCGGCTGCCACTATATGCGCCATATCCTTCACACCGCCAACCGGAATATATTTGTTCGGCTTACCCATATGTTTTATAGCCAATACGCTGCTGCTGCCACTCAAAGATAAATCATTCCAACCGTTGAGAGTGCTGACGCCGGCGCCACCACCGCTGCCGCGATGGTAGGACTTCGTTAACGGCACCGGCAAATGGACGATTTCCACATGCGTCCGTTCTTTGGCGCCGCCATCATAACCGCCACCGCCGTCACCAGATCCCGTGAGTAACCATTTAAGTACAAGTAAGCCCGCAGCTGCCAAGGCAATTTTACTCATTACAAATGATGATGTCGAGAGAGCCGTCAAGGTTTTTAAAACCAACGGTAAAAGGATAAACTTCACAATTAAAACACCAATCAGCAGTGGCTGGAGATATTTAAGCATTTTCCTGCGCTTATGACGGCCGCGACCTGCGTGAAGAAGAGGAAGGTTTGGGAAATCTCGTAAATAAAATATTTCAACCACAATGTAAATATAGCACACTATAGATATGTACGTGTATATATGTACAGATTGTATGTTATGTGCTGACTGTTGACTTGTTAAAGCCGTCATTGCAGCAAACAGTGGGAAGTGGCAATATTGAGTGATCACGAAGTGCAATAAATGTAAATAAAAATGAAAATTCAAATTACGTTTTGCGCGTAAATATCTTTCAGTTGAGGTAAACTGAAGCGACAGTATGACGGTTTATCAGCATGGTATTCATGAATTATTTAACTTAAGGATAAAGAGCTGCAGGATAATTGTGTGAACGCGAGTGGAAGAAAAAGGTGTGGGGCGAAAGAAATTTTAAATGATTTTTGAGGCAGCAGTGTATGACTTATGGAAAATAAATCGAATCTTCTGAGCTTAATAACGGTAAGCTTTGATCGTAAATTCATGCAGAAGATTATTTTTAAGTTTTTATATTTAAGAAAAAGCAATTAAACTGCAGAACTGTGGTTGAACTGAATACCAATTGCTAAACATAACAAGACCATTTTGATGACGACACTTTGTTTTTAATCTGAATGGACTCAGAATTTTTATTTTGAACTTTTCACAGTTCAATGCTGAAAGCATATAGACGTATCTACGGGTATGACTTCTGAATTTTAAAACTAATATCAAATCATCTAATTCTCTCTAAGGGCATGATTTCGGTAGACGATGTGGCCGTTATCGGGTTCTAAATTTCATTCTTCTTATTTTTTTATTTTTCAAAGGAAATTTGAAGAGTTTTCCAATAATGGGTGTTATTTTGATATTCTCAGAAACTATTCCCTTGAAAGATAGATGGCCATAAAAAATCATCAATCATCTCTCGACATCGCCATAAATTCATTTTCGTAAAGGTAAAGTCCAATGACACCGCTGAACGATAAACCGCACCAAACAGCTACATATTGAGGATGCAGAGGTTTTTCAACAATAAACCTTGGGTCTTGGGTCTTATCAGTCAAGATGATTTTTCAATGAAAATTGCATAGTGTTGTTGAAGCGTGTATCGTTAGTAGACCACTCTAAGATGAATTCCGTGAAGGTCGTTCAAAATCAGTTGTTGTTGAAGAAATCTGGAAAGCTAACCGCCGAAAAGGAATAACTCAAAACATTGATTTTATAAGGCATACACCATATGGTCCTGACTTGGCACCGAATGACTTCTTTTTATTCCCACATATAAAAGATAAACTAAGAGGTAAACGCGTTTTGATACCTCAAGAGGCGGTTAAGGCATTTAGAAGGCATGTTTAGGAGATACCTCAATCAGAGTGGCAAAAAACGAAATATTTTTGAATAAAAATCTTCATGAATTTCTCATAGGTGTTTCCGCCCCCTGTCTATATTAACCATTTATAACATGTATTTTCAAAAATTTTGTAAACTCCAATGTCTGAATTTCCGCCATTATTTATATTTTCCTAACTTGTGCTACCTGTGGTGGTGTAAACAATGTTGCTGTTTTCTAGAGCAACTCTTCTAAGATACTAGCCATCGTTCCACGTCGCCTTCTTCTTATCCTTGAACACTCTGTTACCAATCATGTATATTCTTGTGCTAATAAAAAGTCTAAGCTTTCCAGTTCCTTCTCTACCTGGGTTTCCAACGAAGTGGAGGCCTGTTCCTTACGATCCGATGTCTTTTTCTCGCTGAACTGTGTCAGCTTCGCTGTATTTGTATTGCAGCTCATCGGTCCACTGGTTGCGGTACTCGCCGTTCTCAACTTGCAAAACCTTTTAATACCGATTCAACATGACCACCATATGTATATCAAGCGGTTTATTAACCGGACACTTTATTGTGGGGACTACTGGTAGAAGACCTTTTCTCAAACAACTTTTCTATACTGCCCAGCTTTCAGTGCTTTCTGCCATCGATTTCCCGGAAAGTTCTTCTCCTAAACTTCGTAAAAAACACAAAGTGTGGTTTGAGCATCTGGATGAATCTCTTCCCTTTCTGATTCTTACTTACAATTTTCTGGGGTTGTATTAAACAAGCATGAAAGGCATACATTCCAGTTCACTATCTGGTGTTTCGATGCGTGATTTTTGAAGGTAACATTTAATAAATATGAAAATTTTTTTATTTCAAAATTATAGATTTTTTAAAGCACGAAAAACACGAAACATTTTTAATGTCAGAAGCCGACTGCGAAAAGAGAATGAAACTACCTTTAAATTATTGTATCATGATGAAAACTACAGCCAGTAATAAGTGTTCACAATGTCCAATTCTTCACTTAAATGCAACTAATCCATGCTAATTTACCTTCATTTAATTCCTGTGCCAAATTTCGCAATGAAACTTTAGTTGCAGCTGTGGTAAAGCGAACATCCTTTGGCTTTTCATTTTTACGTTTCAAAGTTGGCATGTCGGTCTGCGGCAGCGAATTGTTGGCCAGACTCTTCAGCTCCTCTACGGTCAGCGCTGCTGGCGCTGTCACAACCGTGCCCACAGCAGCACAGTCTAACTGTTGCGTCGGCATTGTTGGATTCACAGTGACAGTGGCAGCGACAGCGGCAGCGGCAGCGCAATGCAATAAGCCATAACTGCAGGATAAGCAGCAAAATAATAGAAGGAAACTATGCATTTCTAATTTGTCACTGGCAAGGCAAACCCGCAGCTAGAAGAGGTAAAGTTGGAATTTTATTTCAAATAAAATGTTGCTGGTTATAAAATCGAAACGACCACAAAAAAAGAATAAATTTCGCAAACCGAATTTTGCAAAAAAACGTTGCGCGCGAGCTGTCGGCACAATTCTAACTGACTAAAATTTATTATGGAATCAACCGTAGGAGTTGCACTCACCCACCGTTGGCTGTGTGGCAGCTGCCACATGAAGTGGAATTTACAAATGCATTTCGAACGATGCAGCAATGGCTAACGCTGCTGCTATAGGCGCGCGTTATCAACGTAGCGCTTTTGTGTATGTGCAAACGCTTCACTGCGTGCAACCTAAGTACCGTAAAACTTTGAAAATTCAGCTTTCAGGCTGTCTTATTGCCGGCGTGTGGCAGCTGTGGCAGCTAACAGTGTAGGTCTGTGTGTGTGTGGTTGCTTGTTGCTGGCATAATCGCCATGCAACTGTTGATGGTTGCACGTAAAGAGGAAAGTATATTTTTCATTCATTAATTTAATTTCATAGCCGTTTTTGTTGGCAAAAAAAAATTTGCAACGAAATATGCAGAAGCACATTGAATACCGGAGTAGAATATACAGGGTGTAGGAAGAGGTTTATGGCAACTGAACTTGGTTGAAGTTAATTCTGGGAAAACAGAGAGGTTTACATAGCCTTACAGTTGGTTCAAGAAATGGTCACTAGGCATGAGGAAGCAATGGGCAGGAGAATATCAATCATAGGTATGTTCCCAGGAATAAAAGCTACAACCAAATGATGCTTTAAATAAGCCGAAAGATTAAAAGAATACGTAAACGACCGCCGCTAAGGAGATCCGATAGATGTAGATTAAAAATATAAACTTGGCTAAATTTTTTTTATCAGAGACCTTTACGCCATGTGCTATCACTAAGTCTGGTGAAGGGGTGCTTTGCTCTAATTCTCAGCAGACCAGTGTTGTGATATTGGTTCTTATTCCAAAAAATTGTGGGACTTACAGTTTATTCTAAACTACCACTGAACGGTTGATAAATTTTTTTATAGGAACCTTTCAATTTTTAATGTGTCAGGCCGGCTACGGTGTAAGCCACCAGTCGGCAGAGTGAAACCTTAACCAATGAAATAAAGCTGCTCGACTTCAGTAGTGCCTCAAAATAAGATTTCGCAAAGTAATATGATTACCCCTTAAGCTTTTTGACAGATTGAACATATAAAATTGAGGGAAATGCCAATTTTCAGTGTAACGAGGGTCACAGGACATGATATCTATGGGGTCCCGACATCATATTAAAAATACAGAAGAGTTCGATGTTGGTTGGTCTTCTTACATGACTTTTAATAAAAAAGAGCATAATGATTCACTCTCTGTTGGCGATAATCCATGAAGACTTGAACGAGTACTTGATTAACTTTAGTGGAACTTGGCGCATGATAGTTTTGGGGAAAATGCTCTTTTAGAAGCCTAGTCATACACTAAACAAATTACGGCGAAGTAGATTTTTTTGAGTAAAAAAGAAGAAGCTGCCAAGAAAATGCCCTTCGCCAAATGCAAGCTACTACTAAAGGAGATAATTTTTGGACAGAACGGCTTAAGGCGGGCACAAAAGTTGTGCTGTTGCAAGTCCAAGCCAAGGCCGAAAATCGACGCATTTACACCCTCTGAAAAGTGAAAATATTTTCAAAGTAATTGGATGTGTAGTATGATAAGGACTTCCTATGAAGGACTTCCTATGATGGAACTATAAAAGAAATGAGTAGAAAGATACGACCTCTCCCCTGTTTTGCTATAGCGCTGCTCTAAGCAGAAGTAGACTGGTGTCTCTTGAACGGAATGCCTTTGCCGTGTAAAAGTGAGGATCGCATTAAAATTCCTAAAGAAGGCTACATCTGTGGATCAGATTATTTTTCTACTTACTTTGGCCTAAGTGTGTCGATGCAGGCGATTTTTCATACATCTTCTCAGCAACTTAAAGCTAACCCAAATATGACCTCCAGAAGCTGTGAAAAATGTGTATACCCTCAAATGTGAACACGGAATCTGACATTAGACTTTGTTCCTTTTATTTGAAAATCATATCGGTTTCTCTTAGCTTACCGTAACCCACAAGCATACAGCTTAAAAAGGTGTAGCAATGAGAGAGTAGTCTTGCGTGTGAGATATTTATCTGTCCTTCTAGGGTCAGACTCATTTAGGCACTCAACGCAATCCTAATGGAAATATGTTCTGTCTTAGGAACGTCAGTTTTACGCACTCATATTTTTGTTGGTAATAAGTGGATATTAGAAAGTAAGAACTAGTGGTCTTTTCAGAACTATGAAATAGCAAAGAATATTCTATGTACGTATTTAGGCGCTACGTTTCTTATTTACTTCAGCACAAATGCCTCCCAAATATGATCAATGCACCCTGTACTTACAAACATAATATCTTTGAATATATTATCCATTATTTTCCACCCAATATTCTAAAATGAAGAAGAGGAAAGCAGATAAAATAAAATGAAAAGAAGTTCTTCTGGCGCACAAAAATAAATTTATAATTTCATTTATTTATGTGGCACAAGCTTTGTTGCAGTGCGCTGATTTCCTCTATTAACCACTTATTTAACAACAAAAAAAAAAAAAAAAAAAAAAAAAAAAAAAAAAAAAAAAAATTGATAGAAGAAGAGTCGCAGTAGATATAATAAAGAGAAAAAGTGAGGTAATTACGCCACAATTGAGTTATCGCTGGCAGCAATTTTGCAAATCACAGACTTCGAAACTACGAGGACCAAACACCAATTTGTTGGTAAGCGTTTGACGGTACGTCGCCGACGTTGTCAGGTTGGAAAGCCAAGTGAAATTGAATTGAATGCCTCTGTGATGCTTAACACTTACTCACTTCTTCACTTACACTTTGGCACACACTTACGAGTGACATCAATGCCACTCACTCGCTCACTCAGTCATTTACACAGTACCTCCCTGACTCACTTACGACGTACTTTGTCCACCAGCCGACAGACCATTCGTCAAGTAAGGCAGTTAGAAAATTTTCTTGATTGAAATGTGCTTTTAAAAAGCGTTTAATGTCAGAATCTCAATGCTGCTGTCGTCATAGACACTAAATAATTTTGAGTTTGAATCTGTGTGTGTATATATAGATGTGTGTGTGAAATTGCTAAAATGATTACTGAACCGTAGTTGTTACCGTTGTTATTGTCGTTGTACTATATGCTCGAAATGATGAATGAAATGAATTGACTTTGATTGGACTGCAATTCTTGGCGAAAATTAAAGCTCCTACAATTTTCAAGAGAAATGGGTGAAGGAAAAAGAGAAAATTTATTTCTGCGAAAGGGAGATATGCACACTCATACATGCGTACACATATGTAGAGGCACATGCATATATATGTTTATAAGAATATTTTTAATAGAATTTACAATATTCTTTCACTTTTATTTGGCTACTTCAAGACTCATTTTTTTAAGCAGGTAATACAGGAATATACATTTTGCTGTTTCGAAAATAAATTAAAAAATGCATTAAAAACATTTATTATCGAAATTCCCTTTAATATTTTAAGGTTTGATCCTTGGCATTAATATTGAAACACTATATCATTCAAAAGACGTTTGAGGCTAATTTCGACCACCTCTTTAATTTTTTGAGGATTACTGGAGTCCAAACTGAGACAATTTTCTTATTTATGTTTCATCCAAGTGCGGATTCTACATCGTCGTTGATTAAATTTATTTTCTGCGTGTGAAAGGCGTTGTGAATGATCAGCTAGCTTCAAATCTTGTGCAAGCTGGACTTTGTATGGAGCAAACTACGCCAAAATGTGCCGTAAGAACGTCACAGCTCTTGTGAGCGAAGAAAATGAGTAGTAGTACCGCTTGTAGGTTTTATAAAAGCAGTTAAACAAATTAAAATTAAAATATTAAACAAAATTACTATAAAATCAAAAAAAAAAAATTAAATAAAATATTAAAAGAAAAATTTATAAAATAAATATAATAGTAAAATGAAATTGCAAGAAATAAAATTAGTAAAGTAAAGGTAAAGCAAAATAAGATAAAAAAATTAAACTACAATAAAATAAAAACAAAATGTTGCAAAAAAAACTGAAATAAAATAATAAAAAATAAAATAAAATAAAATAAAATAAAATAAAATAAAATAAAATAAAATAAAATAAAATAAAATAAAATAAAATAAAATATATTAAAAAAAAAATTAAAATTAAATAATATGAAACAAAATAAAATTTTAAAATTAAAATTAAATAAACTAAAATACAGTTAAAAAAAGAAAAATGAAATATATGTAATTGTATTGTATTGTATCTTGTAGACATCGGTCGAGTGCTTAGAGCGTGCCCATCCTAAGGCAATGTCAAGCTCCTCCGGGTATATTGCTGACTTGGAATACAATTTCCTCATATAAGTCCACCCATTTGTTGTAAAAACAACAACACACAAATTAGAACAGCAGCTCTGCCGAGAATCGTTCCCGTTTTGTTGGAGCAACATACTCGTGTAAGCGTTATAGTTTTTTAAGCTATATAACACCATTATATTTCATCGCTTGAATAATAATTATGTGAATCTGTTTAATCTGCTTGTACTTATGTATTTGCTAGTTTGCTGCCATATTTCTGTGGTTGGTTGCCAGCAGTTGTGCCAATATTTACATTTATTCAGTGTTATTACCTCATGCTAATTGACGCAAATTAACGGTGTTAAAATGAGTTGTTGTTATATCCGGTTTGGCATGCAGCAAAGTAATGCAGTAGTGCATATGTAAATAGTAAAACTATATAACGAGTAAATATTGTACAATAAATGAAGTAGCGTGTATTATTACATGGCAAAATATAAAAAGTAAAAACTTTATTCGAACATTGCTGCTATTGTTTTATAACTTAAACATTAAAAATGGCATTAACATTTTACTTAATCAACAACATTGCCTAAATTACTACAAGTGAACGATTGCGCAATTCATTTCATACATTTATATGTCACTTACTGCCGATGAGGTGCAAAGAGCAGATGAAAAGTAGTTCATAGCAATTCGTGTATACCAGACAAATTGAGATTAGCTAACCGTGTTGGCTGCGATTACATAGCCGAAAATTCGTTTTCCTTTTCATCTTCTCGCCGTTTACCAATCTTTCTTTATTACAATTGACTTACTCACATTGCCGCCACCCTTCAGAGTAATCACGGTTAGGAAGAGCGCAAAGAAGAAGCCCGCCATACCGGTGCTACCGACCAAGAGTACTAGGCCACCAATTAGCAGCGGCAAGAGTGTTATGAATTTTAGCTTGTATGCCAACAACAATGGCAGTATTAACTTTTTCAATTTCTTTTTCAACTTTTTCCCTCGACCAATGCCCAGCGACGTGGTCGTGAATGATTTAGCCGTTTGCTGCGTTGTATTTGCATTTGTTGTTGCGCCGCGTACCGATGCTGTAACCGCAGTTGACTGTGGCGTCGTTAGTTGTGGGGTCCACACCATCTCGGTTGATTGTGATTGTTGTGTGTTGGTTGAGTGTGCAGTGGGAGGGATGGTGGGCACACCTCGCTGACCTTGAACTTCAGCCAAGAGCTGCGCAGTGTCACCAGCCGTTGTGACTGTGTATAGAGTCTGCAGTATACTTGCCGCATGCTCAGCCGCTGCGGATGCTGTGCTTGCAAACGCTTCATCACTCTCGTCGGCCGTAATGAGTTGGCTGCTTGCCAAGTCTGCAAATAAAGTTCATGAAACATGCGAGAAAAGTTTTAAATGAATAATAAACTTTATTGACGTTGCTGGGTTAAAAACGGCTAACAAAATGTTAACACTCACATACATGCATGCAAAATATAATGTGCATATGCGGTAACTATTTTTGAGCTTCAAACTATTAACTAGTTAATCTAGTTGATCTAATTAACATATGGAAATTAAACGAAGCAAACCATGAATAAATTAAAGTCAGACAGCTTGCAGCGGTGGCAGCGGACACAGTAGCAGTGTTTCGTGCTGCAAATAGGAGAACGGTAGGTGGGGTGCTAACGGCCGAAGTAGACTCCAAACAAGCGTTATTATGAGGGGTACAAATTAATTCGGATGGAAAGGTTTCATATCTATTAAAAATTCTAGCGCTCTTCAGCGTCTATTTCTGATTACAACTTGTTTTTGTTTTTTTTAATTGGAAAAAAGTGCAGCTGAAGTTTATGATGAATCTGGCCGCTGACCGATAATTCATGCAGAGAGTGGTTTCAACCCTTCAAAGGTAGTGATTTTGGTGTCGAAAACAAAGAGCGTCGTGGCCAAGCCAAAAAGTTTGAAGGTGGGGAATGCGGTTAACGGTATGTGAAACTATTGATGCGAAACGTTGTCCACTACAGTTAGTGGGCTTGAGGCGTGCATGACGTGAAACGACCGAAAGGCATAACAACTCTCGTGTGACAGGTGGCAGTGACGGCCAAAGACTACCTGGAAACGCTGAGATGGTTAGTTTTACTCCTTCTCAAGACCTTGCCCCTTTCGCCTAAGGCTTTCTATTGCGATACCAAACGATTTGGAGGAGTCTTCGGTTCGGGTCTTTTAAAAGCATCGAGGAATAACTCAATGATTGGCTTAAGGACAGATAAAACACATTTTTGGAGACGATATTTTAAAAATACCAGCGATTGTGGAAGAGGCAGAAAATACTTTGGATCATGTTTGTTATATCTTTGTACTTGGTTACAATAAAAGTCCATATCCCAAGCCTACACTCTATAAAGGAAAACTACGATTTGCATATTCTGACAGGGAATCAATGCCATTGACAGGTGACAGAACTCAATTGGGAACTAATGCCAAATGTACCCAGCAACCAATCTTCTTTTATCACCGAGACTCTGCTATTTGTTTCGTTCTTGTGAATTTATTTCACTGGTAAAACATTTGAACCGAATTGGGCTGTTAGACTAGTTTTTGGTTTTTAACAAAAACAAATTTACTTCGAACGTGGACCCTTTCACCAAGGTGATCAATATTTGTTTGCAAAAATGATAAATTTGTGAGAGATCAGCAGAAAAGCTTATTTGACCATAACTCGAGGCGTTTTATTGATTTGCAGTAAAATGTTATAAATAAAATTTAAAGTGATACAGCGAACAAACTTTAGCTTATAATGAAAAAGGGTTCTGTAAACAGCGAGGGGTTCAGAAAACGCAACATATTGGATGACATGGGAACTTCAAATGATGAAAATTTGGTTAGAGATTTTTTCAATAAAGCTGACTTGTCTGCAAAAGTTACTGACTTAGATCGAGACCTAATTGAAGAGTGTGCACACAAAATCTTCAAAATACTTGAAATCCGGTGCATATGTGGTTTTTTACCCAGATTAACACTATGACTATCCTTCTTCACTCCTTGAAGTGGACCAGGAACTGAACTGCTCGAAAAATTGTATTTATCATTCGATTAACTTGAAATTCGCTGCGTTGATGGTTTCTTACGGGAATTGTATTGATTTTGTTTTAACTATATTTACGTACGGTTCGGATTGTTTAATGGATGATATGCCTAAATTGAATGATTTTATTGCCTGGAAATGGAGCAGGTAGCTGGAACCAAGTTCAATTTGAACGAAATATAAACAATAAATATTCATGGGAAAGGGATTCCCAACAGCAACAAAAAAAAAATTGTATGATGGGAATATGAACACACTCGTAAGTAGATCGGGCATAAGTAAGTTCTCTTCGTGTTTGTATAATTCTTCGGCTGCGGTTTAAACAAACAATTTTTAATACGCTCAACTTGAGTTTGAATAAGCAGAGCACCGAAATAGACATTGGCTTATTTCGAGGTCTTCGTTTTCGTGAAAGAACTTGAGCAAGAGGCTATCCATACACAGAAATACGTAGCTAAATCAATAAATATAATAAAAACTGAATATTTTGAATTAAATAATGCTTAATTAGTTTTTCTTTTTAAAACTTTTTGTAATATATTGGGTTGCCCAAAAAGTAATTGCGGATTTTTCATATAGTCGGCGTTGACAAATTTTTTCAACGGCTTGTGACTCTGTGCTTGTGATTTGCACCTTAAACGCAATGAATTCGATCCGTTTTCAAAACGAATCATAACTGGTGATGAAAAATGGATTGTTTACAACAACGTTAGTCGAAAACGATCATGGTCCAAGCATGGTGAGCCAGCTCAAACCACTTCAAAGGCTGATATCCACCAAAAGAAGGTTATGCTGTCTGTTTGGTGGGATTGGAAGG